AACAACAAGTTAAGGCATTACCTGGTTGATAACATCCTTCCAATGATTGTTCAATTTGTATCCATCTTCTCGGTTGAAGTTTTGTCTGTTTATATATCTGGATGGCTTCATGAACAAACCTTTGATAGTAGCCCGAAGGTTTGCAGAGTACCTTGGTCTTGGAAAAAACAATATCATGCGAGCCCACAGCGTTATAACAATGGTCAGCTACGGCAGAGGTATTGGTTCTGCCATGTTTCAGATCTGTTTTGTGTTCGCGAACACGGTCCGAGACATGTCGTTTAGTTTCCCCAATGTAACTCCAGGGTATTGCATGTCAGGAATGACCTCCACAGATGGGATTAGATCGCGGATTTTGTGTACTGTATTGAATCGGACCTGGATCTTGTGTTTGTTTAAGATTTTGGAAATATTTTTGGTAACACCTGCTATGTATGGTAAAGTGATGGTTTTGATTGGATTCTCAGGAAATTGTTTCTCCATCGTTGGAGAAACAGCTTTGCAAATAATGCAGTCCGAGTACCCATTCATCTTGAGGGCTTGGTGTACGTGTTCCAGTTCACTGGCTAGGTGGTGTTGGTCGGAGATGCAGTGGGCCCTGTGGTGTAGTGTCTTGATGAGGGAATTCGTCTGTGCCGGATGGTGGTGGGAATTAGGTTTCAGATAGGAATCTGTGTGGGTGGCTTTCCTGTGGACAGAGTGTCCCAACGAGCCGTCAGGCCTCATCTCAAACAGAACATCCAGGAATGGTAGCTTACCATCCTTCCCCACCTCCATGGTGAATTTAATGGATGGGTGTATGGAATTGATGTAGTTGAGAAATTGGTTCAATGCTGGCAGGTCATGTGGCCAAATGACGAAAGTGTCATCTACGTATCTCTTCCACAAGGAAGGACGTAGGGTGGATGTCTGGATGGCATCTGTTTCAAATTTATCCATGAAAACATTCGCCATCACTGGTGATAAGGGGGAACCCATGGGGGTACCTTCATTTTGTTTGTAGAAAGTACCATTCCAGGTGAAGTGTTGGTAAGGCAGTTTCCAACCAAAGTTGGTATATCAGGATTCAGTCCATGTTAGACCAAGTCTTCAATTATTGCTAAGGTGTCAGGTACAGGAACCTTGGTGAACAGAGAGAATACATCAAAGCTGATAAGCAAATCATCTGGAGACAGTGAGATGCCCTTGATTAGAGAGACCAAGTCAGCTGAATTATGGACTGCTGTGGTAGTCTTGCCTGTAAATGGAAGCAAGGTCTTAGACAAAAATCGGGCCAGTTTGTAGGTAGGTGAGTTGATAGTGGAAACGATGGGCCGAAGTGGAGTACCTTCTTTATGGATTTTTGGAAGACCACAGAATCTGGGTGGTCTAGCAGCAGAGGGTTTTAGGGAGAGCCGCTTGAATGGTTCGATTAGAGAAGTCGAATTGTTGATTATATTGTTGGTTTTTGTAGCCAGGCGGTTGGTAGGATCCTTGTAAATTTTGGTGTAACTGCCATCATTAAAGTCCTGGATTTTGTTGTTATATGTGATTCACTTGTGGAAAGCACTTTGTGTGTAATGAGTGCGACCTTATAATGTATTCGTTCGACAAAACACCTGCTCGTCTGACGTTCCAGCTTTAACAGGTGCTTGCAAACAGCTCTTGCCCCACCAGTCTCGATAGGCTGTACAGGATACGTTTGTATTTATGTGCGTGTGTGAGGAGTGGTGGTGTGGTGGTTAGCGCATTGCAATGGACCCGGAAACTTGGGTCCAACAGTGGATTGACAAAGCAGTGTACATGTGCAACGTTGAGTCTTCTTATAACTATAGAGAAATATAAAAAATATATATATTTTACCCCCTTCCACCACACCCCCAACATATATATATATATAATTAAGAGGGGGGGGGGTATTTCGAACGGTTGGTATTCAACCTTAGCCTCTGAATGGATGTTTTAAAATGTTTCCGAATCCAGATATTCCAACAATTAAAAAATAATCAGTAAATCAAAAGTTTAAGATTTTTGGAAGAGTACCATGCTGAAATCAACAGAAAGTGGAGGAAGTTCGCTTACAATTTAATAATTGAAACCAATTGGTTGTGAAGTTATGGTTCCTGTGTTCCATTGCTGGAATGAGGGCTTCCCCATGCCAGCTCGGCTATTGGGGTTGTTTGAACGACGCCTGACCACCAGTATCATAAGAGTATAAACGAACTTACAGACTATTCTTCTTAAAGACCCGCAATGAACAGATGCACCCGTCTTCACTGAGACGCTAATTGTGCCTCCATTTTGTACTCTGTGTAATGGCTGACACCCCCGCCTTAACTCGTAACTTCCTGGTCACGTGACCAAACTCAACACCATCATATCAGGAAGTTCCTGTGTAAACCCACCCCATGTCTGCCGTAGGGCAGAACACTACCACTTTTCATTGTTGATGATGACTGCAAGAGATGACGGATTAGTCTCTAATCTACTCGATTCCCTTCTCCAAGGAGCGGACCCAACATCTCAACCACCACTACCATCACCACTTACTACATCATCATTACCTCTCGCCACCAGCAACCAACACAATGACTACAAATTACAACCATCATCATCCCTGGCTCCCCACTACCAACATTAGTTTATACTATGTACCTGTCCACCGTCACCACCTCCTACATCATCACTGGCTCCCACCACCACCACCACCAAAGCATCCATCACCCACCATCAACGCCAGACCTCGTAAGCCGAGCAATATTTGAGCCTGGTTGGTACGAAGGTGGAAGACTTCCTGGGAATAGCCATGCATTGTCGGCGTGGAGTTGCTAGGCGTACAGACATGGATTCTTGAATCTATTTGTGCGCAGCTTTAAGCGTGCACCTCCCTTCGTATGCGTGGTGAACTCCTCCGGTTTCCCCCCACGTGTCAAACGCCTACAACCCAATGCTTCACCCAACTGAAAATGCGTCTGAAAACTCATGGAGGCTAACCCTATAGATGCATGGTTCAAACGAGCCTGACTGCTGATGAGACACTGGATTTTTAAACCGATCCAGATTATTCTTTTGTTGAACTAATGCTGCTGAAATTGTGACTTCTAAAAGGCCGTTAAGCTGATTGGATGTGTTCAAAATGTATTAGACTTATTATGTTTTACGTGGAGGGACAAATATGGAAATGAGGCATATTGTTTGCTCATACACTGTGTTACTGGTTAAATAAAGTGACATTATTAAAATGTTGTTATTGTGCAATGGCTATCTGTGGAATCATTTGTCTCTAAGAATGGAAGGAATTTGACTGAATAAAGAAAATTCTGAGTTTGATTCCCAGCCACGGCTAACATCATTGGTAAGTGATATTTTAATGCATGCCTCCCCTCCCTCTGTCCCTCTTCTCCAGCCCGCACAAACCAGAGGCGTGAAGTATGGCCATACAACCCCCATGACTGACTTACCGTTGAGAGGCCTTCATTCAGCAGTGGATAAACCATGGTCGATTACTTGAAATTCTGAGCATCGAGAAACACGCAAAGGCGGCCGCAGCACGAGTCGGAGGAGATGTAGCACTTGACGGTGAGAAGAGAGACGTTTACTGATCACCGTTTAAACAAAACCCGTGACGTCCAACCAATAGGGAGTTGTCTCTCATCGGCGGCCACGTGTATGTGGAGACAGAATGGAGTTCTGCTTAAACGGGCATACCCTGATTTACGTCTCCCTTTTAACGTGGTTTCTCAAACACGTCGTCACTTTATTAACACCGCTACCTGATTTGCGTCACCTCAACCCACATTTACGTCGCTAACAGCATCGTCCGTCCTTTCTCGTATGCGTCGCGTCGGCTGTCGTCTCCAGCTACCCCGTAAATTGATTTGATTAATGTTGTTTCGATATTCGTTGCATCTTTCAGGAACGCACCCCAGACGTAAACCGGGGTATTAGTGAATATTATTTCACTCCGGTGTATATAGGTGCGCTTCAAGCAGGCTTGGATTGCCGGTATGGTACGCAATCGCGCGTTTTGCCGAGCATTAATTAGTGACTATCACTTATTCTCTGGGTTTGCTAAATGCAGAGTGCCATCGACTAGCATAGATGTAGACACAGAGCCAGATACTGAAAGATAGACATATATAATAATGAATTACTGAGCACATAAAGAGACCTCCAAATATAGGATCCTCTTGAAAAGTAGTCTCCGGTTAAAGAAAGTGTGTTATGAACAGAGTCATCGGTGTGATCCTTGCTGACCGGATTACTGGTCAACGGGTTACTGGTTTGGGTGACCGGCCCAGTGGTCAGTGGTTTATTGACCCGTTGGTTAGGATGTGACGAGCCCACTGGTCACCTGATGACTGATCCATTGGTTCGTGTGCCATGGACTTGCTGATCATTCGGTGGCTAGGCCCATTGGTGGATGTGCGTCAGGTCTTGGTGAGAAGCTTATTAGTCAGTGGTTGACTGCGTGATTTGACCAATTAACCATTTGTCAATCCACTGTTGGATGAAAACATCCCTACGACAATCTCTTCATTGTAATCATCATCATCATTGTCAAGTGCTGGACGAAGACTTCCCCACGCCATCATCATCACAAGCCATGGTCTATTGACTCGATCCACTGCTGGATGAACGCTACGTCATCCCCTTGCTCTCCTCACGGTCCTGCGAATCACACAATCCACCTGACTGCTGCGCATGAATTCAACTTATCGCTCCGTCTCCGTAGTGGTCACGATCTCGTGGGCGCAATCTCTCCTTTCCTTTTGGCTGTCACTCCATCACCGGGCTCTCGCATCGTCAGCCACCATTTGATCTCACAAAGTGGCTCATCTAAGCCCCGCTTACTTAAGATTTCACAGACTCGAATGTGCGTGTGTACACGTGCAACTCTGTTCTCTATCCACTGCTGGATGAGGTGCTGCCCCACGGACCGTGCAGGTTGCGGGGGTTATTTGACCATACTTCACCACGCTAGTCAGTACGGAGTAAGCAATAACATATGTAGAAGCAAATTCCATCATCACCCACACTTTATTTACTGATTACAGATTGAATGGCATGGACACTGTATAATGCAGTGACTTACCTACAGAACATGAACACTGGTCGATAATGTAGTTTTATAATATATTACAACATTATCATAGGTTTGGTATACATACAGAAATACATATAGATGTACAAAACCTCTCAGTACCATAAATCACACATTACGAAAAGCTCAACAAACCTCTAAATACATCTGTCGAAAGATTCCTTAAATTATAAAAGTGCGTCGGAAAAGTTCTCATAAAACATTTTCTTCTCATTTTATTCGGCTCCATCCGTCGCAGCAAGCTTCTCTCTCCAACACAACCATCATCAGCATCATCATCATCACCACCACCACCACCAACAGCCGTTCACCACTATGCCAAGCTATGTGCACTTTGAGGCCACGCGAAGTGTCGAAGGCTCGCTGCTGGCAGGAGGTCACTGGACAGACCCAGGTGCCATGGGTTGACTGACTTGAGTTGACTGGCAGATGCACCACCTGTGCCCTCTACTGCGCCAATCACAACTACCAACCCCAGTATCACCAACAAAATCAATAGTTCGTTTGTCGGCTCTGCCGCCACGATGGCATTTTATCCGGGCGCCTCCCACGCGATCGCCGCATTACTGCTCCCAGACAATAAACTTCTCGCCTTCTTGCCCGGAGCCGGTCGCCCCGAGGGAGGCTCATTGGCAGACGACGATGAAGACGACGAAGACGACGAAGGCGACGATGATCCTGATGACTGCTGGCCCACGGGCTCGCCGGACGCGTTCTGCTGTCGCCCCATGCGCTTGCACTTGCACGAGGCCACCACCTGGATGCGGTAGGTGCGCGTCTCGCCGCTTCCGCACGTCAGTCGGACCCGCTGCGTGCGGGAGCGCTCCGCCACGCAGCGCCACGCGGAGCCGTCCTCGCCCCCTCGCCGCCTCCAGAAGTGCCTGCTGCCAGCCCAGTTGGGCAGCAGGGCCGTGGGCAGGCACTCCCCGGCGCACACCACCTCCTTCACCGGAGTCACACTCGTGCAGTCGCCGTCGGACACGTACTTGGTGGAGCGCAGTTCCCGGCAGCCGAGATGGGCTTTGTCTAAGTAGGGGAGTCGGGGGGTGGTGAGGGTTGCAGGAGGTGTGGGAAGCATGGTCAGCATCGTTCAGTCACGCTCCGTGCATCATTCATTCGTGCATTGCGCTAAGATGAATGGACTCCAGTTTCCTTCCGCAATTCAGTAAACGTGGAACGTTGGGCCAACGTTTTGTCCCACGGTTCCAACAATATGCAAACGTTGGCTCAGCATTACATTTTAACTGGGAAGCCAAATGCTCATTTGTATGTTTATCCAAACATGCCAGCGAAGCTTCCCTGGGTAAATGCACACCGCACGTCGTGCAAATATACTGTCCCTGTACATCGGGCCAATTCCACGGTTACGGAACTACACCGGGACGCATAATCAGCGACGATACGTCGGCTTATCCAGAACATGATTCAGACGCTGATAGTCACAACACGTTAACACAAGCGACATTCGCACGTGCGTCCTTCGTCGTAAATATTTCCACTGCCGGGGTCAAATGTCACGGCGTTATTTCTTGCACATGTCCGTTACCGCGGAATCGCCGATGCCTGTCGCAAACTTGACCCCCGTCCGTTGAACTGGTTTGCGCGGTCTCCACTGCCAAGCTCCCACTTCCCTACAGAAGTATAGTCCGCGCGACGTCGTCTGCAAGTCGTCGTCGTTGCACGTTAAACGACTCATCTCGCGCAGCTGATGCTGCTGCGTTTGGCAGTGGTGCCGCAAGCACAGCGAACGAACGAAAATGACGTCAACGCATCCGTCAATAGCGCGGTGTGGCCTTAACGCGAGTTACGCACAATCGGCGACATTTCTGGCAATGGCCTGTCGTCAGAGGAAATTAAAATAATAAGTGATAGCGTGTGATATATTTTTGCGAGGCAGCGTTATCAACGAACGTGTTGGGATTTTATAGTTTTTTTTTGTTTGGAGCCGTCGACTGCACGTGTCTTACACGTGGTCACAATCATCATCATCAGCAGCAGCCATTATCACTCTACTGCTGGACGAAGCCTCCCCCCCCACCCCCACTGACATCTCTCCCAACCAGCGCCAACTGTAACGATGTTTCGATGCAAAAACCCATCGCCGCTTCCGCTGTACACGACATGCTGATTTCATCGCTTTGCCGTCACGGTAGACGTGGCTTCTGGCGCGTTTCTCTCCTTTGACTGCCACTCTGACGTTCGTCTCGACCATCTGCCGCCCATCCTTTTCTAGCCACGTGTCCTCGCCAAGCCCACGTCCCCCCCCCCACCCTCATTAGTCGAAGGAAGGCGTGTTCCTCTACACTAGTCTATGGCTGACGTAAGAGGAAGACCGAAGAAAAGCAGCTCAGCAATGACATGCCCTGCACTGCAGACTTAAATCGCTCCACCGCTGGATGGAGACCTACCCACGCCGCGTCGTTCATGATGGGTCGTTTGAGCAAATCCTCACCGCGCGGATCAGTGCGGGTCCGTGAAGGCCGGGCTGCATAATCCCACCCGGGAGCATAGAGGTACAGCGCAACAGTTGATATTTCTGGGCTGCCTTCTGCTGCTGCCCACCGCTTAGCCTCGAAACCGCCTACCGACAACCTTTGTGTGCATAGTGGTCGCCCAACCAAATCATTATACGGGATAAAGAGCCCGCTTAGCTTCCTAGACCTGACGAGGACGCGCGCATTCCGGGTGATTCGGTCATAAGGCTTTGCGAACTCGAATTGTCGCGGACGTGCCTTGCGGAGTAATACACAACAGCTGCGGACGTAACCACAACTCGCGCGTGATTTTAAAGACGTGTACACACAGGTTACGTACACACACACACACGAGGTAAAAGTACAGCCCTGCAACTGCTGGCTTGCGCCACTGCTGGTGGAAGGGCCGCTGCTAAGGGGGAACCCCAGACAGCCTCTCCTCTCGAGGGTAAATGTTGGTATCGACAGACAGCAACTGACGACAGTTACTGTAAAGTGACTTGCAGGCAGAGCTAATAATACAAATATAATAGGCAACGTTTCGGGCAATAGCCCTTCTTCATAGCACGTGAATAGATAGCCCCGAGAGACAAAGTGAATAGTAAAAGTTGGAGACTGTACTTGTTTACACCAAGGGGCCTGAAAAGAATATATATTTTTTAATTTTCTGATGACCGTTGTTTAAATTGACATGTGAATGGTTTACCTATTGGCAGCCAATGGGTAATAATTCCGTGCTTACAAAAACTCCTCACTTAAAATTTCTCTCTTGCGATATCATAGTTGATGTATGTGTGGGTTTCTTTTTTTAAACACAAACATACATAGAGGAGTTTCCGACGCTTTACCGTTGTGCACGTTCCTTGTTAACAAGCGCGTGTTTCGTGGGTGTTTAGTTGCGTTTGGCTCTGCGTTGATGGTGCTCTTAAACTAAACGAAACAATATTTTTGTATTTTACGCGGTAAGGCCTACTGAGCAATAGAGTAACTTTTTTTTCAGAAGCCACCTGGCCACAATGATAGCTAAACGACGTGGCTTACCATGTGGAAATGTATCGTTGTGAACACTCTAATCGCACGTTATTTATAAATGTGAAGAAAAATCCACTCAACCACGGGGAGAACATGCAAACTCAATATATAGAGGCGTCAGGGTCGGGGTCGAACTCACGACCTGCTGTATACCAGGCGAGGTAGTTAACATCGACCCCACCGTGACTCTCTTCGTGAACTCATTGCGGCGGGCTTGCCCGTCACCAGTTTGATGGCTTCGTTCATGAGAAGGGAAAAGTCACTTTCCAGTAACTTTCAGGGCGCGTTCTGGTGACTGCAGTGACGTTACTGCAGAGGCAATGCCGCTCTTACCGTCTCTACAGTAATCGCACGAGGACGTTGTACGTCAATTGGAAGTTGTTCTAAATGTAAATAAAATAACTTAACACGTTTCAAAGGAATATACGACGGTGCTTACTCACATTTGACGCGCCATGAAGAAGGACCGTTGCCTGAAACGGCGCCTCTTAAATATGTTTATTTTAAGGCCACATTGTTATTGGCGACTTTGTTGAGCTTGTTCATTGTGCTTGTGCACCGCTGCCAACGCAGAAGCATCGGAAAAGAATTTGTTTACTTCTGTTCAGATACGAATCAAGTCGCTAAACGCTGCACACGCTCGATTATTGCTAAATACGCCCCGCGTGACGTAGAGCTTGAAATATCCTCTTTGTCCGCGTCACATGGAACACACACGTGCACGCGTGATGTCGACATTCATTTTAATCGGCGTTACCTACGTCATGTGAGCCCTGCTGAGCAATCATCGGACACGTGTAGCGTGTACACACAAGTTTTATTTGAACGAATACACTTCTATGGCGGTGTGTCACGAGGCACGGAGTTTGGGGAAAAAAACACTGGAATATAAATATCCATATATATAAGTGTAAAACTTCAATTGTCTTACAGTTACAGCATGCACTTCAACAATTTGCGTCTTGCAGTGTCAAAGGGGAGGTTCATTCTGGCTGGAAGAAAGCGAGGTCCGATGGTAAAATAAATCGTGACCGACATGCAATCGATGCTGCTATCACAGCGCCAAAAAGAGGACACGAGTTGACTGGGCGATGGTGGGCCAAAGTGATAATTGGCTTAAAATAAAATCCAGTGCAATGTCGTTTCAAGTAACAATTACGATGCCGGTTTTTTCACACCGAGTCTGAAGGATTATTTTTCTAGAGAATCCTGCATTGCCAGGTTTGGTCGGATTTATGACCAATATCATTAACGAGGAGCTGGCATGCAAGAGGGATGGTGGGGGGGGGGGGGAACTGGAGTACCCAGAGATAGAAAAAAACCAGCCACGCACACGAGTGAAGTGACACTCAACTCTGCTCACAGATACAGTATGTGTTCAATATACAGCTCCAATGCGTGCGTGCATTCAATCTTTTTTCCCGCTGAACCAATTGGTTCAGCGTCTCCTGGCCACCATGCAGTCGCACGCCCTACAACACCTGGCAATCACCCAGGGTTCTCCCCCCCCCCCCCACGTACGAAGCCGTATGAAACCTGCTGAGCTTCCGATATTTTTTGACGTTAACGAACGTATCAGTGGCAATCTCGTCTCACGCAAGATTGGCGTTTGGGTTTGCGGAAGAAACAAAACAACAAAAAGCCACCCCGTTCCTCGGACGGTCTTCGCCGCCTTACCAAAAAGATAATCATGAACCATCAGCCTCCACAGCTTGCTTCGTTTCCAGATATTCGGCTGCAATATTCTCTGGAGGGGTTCTCGGGGCGGCCGTCCGAGCCGCTTCAGCCGCCCCATCATGGGCGGAATTTGAGGGGGGGGGGGGGGGCACGGAGGGCCAATCCCCCACCAAAACTGGACACTTTTATTAATTTATTTTCAGCAGCTTGTAATTAAAATAAAACACGTTATACTGTATGTACCTTTGAATCTTAACGTGAGGGACAAAGCGAACCCCTGCCCCCCCCCCCCTAAAATATAGGAGTCAAACTCCGCCTTTACGCTCCATCCATCCTGACGGCAGTGATCCTCCATGCGCTCACCGAAATCGTGCAGTGAGCCGCGCCTCGCCCCGTGGCTCGCCCGGTTATCGGTGATGTTGAGCAGGGAGCCGATGGCGACGCGGGCAGCCGAGGAAGAGCTCTTGAGTCCCGCAGAAGAGACAGCAGCAGCAGGAAGAGGCTGCGGCGGGGCAGCAGGGGCAGCGCCGTTGGAGAGGTGGTGCTGGTGGTGGGAAGCGGAGGAGGCGAGCCCAGCCGCAAGTGCGCACGGAGGCAGCAGCAGCAGCAGCGTCGGCAGTAGCATCATCAGTTGGTGGTGATGTTAGCGGAGGCAATGGTGGTGGTGCAAGTGATATTGGTCGTGATCTTGGTGGTGGTGATATTAGTGGTTATGGTGGTGGTGATGTTAGCGGAGGCAATGGTGGTGGTTGGTGCAAGTGATATTGGTCTTGGTGGTGGTAGCGATATTGGTGGTGGTGATATTAGCGGTGATGGTGATGTTAGCGGAGGCAATGGTGGTGGTGCAAACGATATTGGTCGTGGTCTTGGTGGTGGTAGCGATATTGGTGGTGATGTTAGCGGTGGCGGAACCGCGCACCCACACACACGCGGCGTCTGTGCAGCGCGCGGAGGCAGCGCGCCGCTTTTATTGCGGAGCCGTGAAGCGCGGCTCTCAAAACACGCGCCGTGCGGGCGGAACTCTGCGGCTCCGAGTAAAAATGAACACACACCCCCACTCCCACCCATACACCCAGACAAAGATACCCTGTGTAGCCTCAACGTAATTTGGGGGCAAGTGCTGTAAACGAGCATCTATGCAGGCCTGCACGGCACACGAGTGGGTGGGTGGTCAGCACCACGCCCGACTGAATTTGCCTAACAAACGGCGATGTTTACACCACCGCACCAGCTACTCATTTAAGGCTGAGTCGACCTAGGGGAGGCCCCGGACCGGTTCAGATATTGGTCACCGATGTTGACCGTGAGCGCCAAACGAATTCGGTTGGCTGCGTTGGCAGCCCAACGCGCTAACCACAACATTACCGTTCCCCCACGCAGTACAAAACACACAAGGCATCACACGCACACACGTTAAACACACATCGGGTATCATAAACATTTATACAGGGTAATGCAAAAGCACACACATACGCAGGGTAAGAACACACGTAGACACAAATATTCACGGTGTTACGCAATAAACACACACGCACACGTATACGGATAGGTATTTGCGTCATTCTAATAGCGCTATCACGAACGAAGGCTCCGTGTTCCACAGAGATAGCCTGCAGTCGTTTTACAGTGGGAGGGCGATGCAGCTCTCTGTAATCCCAATTTAGTAATTTGCGAGCAGTCTGTCGAAGTTGGGAAATGCGGCTTATTTGTATTAAATCCATAGCTAACTGGGCATTACATTCGAGTACGTAAACATATACCGGGACAACCGCCGTTCGGAACAAATTGGTGGTGACGTCACTACAGCGCTTGTGCCAGGTTCGGTGGACGGACATTGAGGACAAGTGAAGTAAGTGCCGAAGGCTCGCTGGCAGGAGGTCACGGGGACAGATCCATGTGACATGGGTTGACCAACTGAGATGACTGGCAGATGCACCACCTGTGCTCCTCATTATGCCAAATTTCTGCGTTTTAACCGGCCAGGGATCTGTTCGTTGTTGTGAGCGTTGCTCTGCCGCCCTCCGTTTTTGTTGGAGGGCGACTGCTTCCAACTGTCCAGTCGCGTCCGTCACTAGCACATTCACACTCGTACATACACGCGGATGCAAGGGGTATAATTGCAAGCTAACGTACAGAGTATAACACAAAGACAAAGATCCACCGTATAGCCTTAACAGACTGGGGCAAGTGCTGTTAGCGAGCACCTATGAAGTCTGGCACGGCACACGAAGGGGTGGGTGGCCAGCACCACGCCCGACCGCCTTTGTCTCCCTAGTGGCGATGTTTACACACCGAACCAGGTACTCCAGGTACTCATTTGAGGTTGAGTCGACCTAGGGAAGGCCCAGGACCGGTTCAGATAATCTTCACTGTTGGTGGCTGTGAAGCGAACTCGGGCCGCTGAGTTCGTAGCACAGCGCGCTAACCGCTACAATACCACACACGCAATTACACACACGCACATGCATGATACATACGCACGTGGTTGTTGCACGCACTTTGTTGCACGCGCGTGTTCATAAAAAAAAGACAAAGGTCTTCCATATAACCTACGCAGGCTGTTGGTGCATGTACTGTCAGCGAGGACCTATAACGTTTGGAACGGTGTGGTTGGGCCAGCCTCACGCCCTATCGCGTAAAACAAAGGTGGTCCGTGTAGCCCACACAGACTGTTGGGGCAAGTGCTGTTAGCGAGCGTCTATGAAGGCAGGAACGGCACACGGCGGGGTGGGTAGCCAGCACCACGCCCCGACGCTTTTGTCGCCCCAGTGCTGATATTTATAAACCGCACTAGGTTCTAGTTTACGACTAAGTAGACCTAGGGGAGGCCCAGGACCGGTTTCAATATTCGCCGATCTTGTTGGTAGTGTACGTAATTACACACACACACATACCTACAAATGTCATTACCTTTTATACTGTGTATACATAGGGCAGAGGCAGGGTGTGCTCCTCTTTGAAGCACAATGGTGGAGAAATATCACGCATGCATCTCGAGACGGCGTTGACACTAATTACGCAACGAACTCGCCCGCAAATTGTTTTCAGTCTGCGTCGAGCTTCATGATACCGGAGTATAATGTGTCCGGTCTTAAAGGTCGTGCAATTCTGTGAGCGCACAATGAAGCCCTCAACACACCACGCGTGACTGACGCATGCTTAATAAGAATTACAACAATCATAAAGAGATCACAAGGCCTGTGGAATCCAGCGACTTGAGTTCGATTTGAGTTCGCCACTGCCAAAGAGCAGTGCGTATAACCACTACGACCCCGTTTCACCACCACCCCTTCTTACGCGTAACAGCCGAGGCGCAGATACAACGTACCCACCCACAACCTGCACACAAGAGTTTCAATATCTATTTTCCGCGCCACCCACCACTGTGCATCCGTGCTTACCATTTTCCACATCATTAACATCATCAATATCATCATCAGCCATGGTCAAAGGCCTCCAGAAGCCGTCGACCTCCCTCGCGGTCACGCGGTACGACAATCCTCCGGCACGCGGTCTTGTGTCTTCTTTGTTGCGAGCATTTGGATGTCTGCGCCAATATTCGCAGCGTTAGTATGGATTGCCAAAGTGTTTAAGAAGGACGTCCACAATACGGTTAGACAATGATTGTTCCTCGCTGATGCCTTCATCTATCTGCCAGTGAATGGCTCATGGCTGATGATGATGATGATGACGATTAAATATCTCCACTCGCTTTCATCTACCACACGAGGTTCCCTTCGCTTAACCTTGGTTGTTCTCAAGTTCAGCGATAACACTGTAATAATTTACGTTAATTTGTCAATCCACTGCTGGATGAAGGCCTCTCCATGCCGATTGGGTTTGTTTGACCATACTTCACCACGCTGAGTCAGTGCGGGTTGGTGAAGGGGAGGTCAGAACAGGTTCATACAAAAACAAATATCGTTTATTTACTAAGGAAAGCCTGGATTAGTCTCAATAGTCCCTTTCCTTTGTATATGTTTGCATTGGATGTTTGGTCAATTCCATTTAAGGAGTGTTTAGCCTTCGGAGGAAACTAGAGTGTCCAGAGAAAAATCCACTACGCTGAAGAAGGGATAATTCTGTAAGGTCCTTACAGACGGGTTCACGAACCCACCGTCTCCTGACCATTTCGCAGCACACGCAACTGTGGGTGTTGGATTCTTTGGAATCTCTACGTGACCCACCAACCCTTTTCCTCCAAAGTGCTCTGTAAGAAGGCGTTGCGCCACCAAATTTTACAACAAGCAAAAAAAACCCATCAATAACGATTTACTTTCAAATAATCATTTTATGGAACACATCTAAATAAATGATATAAAACGCTCGACTAAACATTTGGGGCGAGTGGGGCGGGTGGGGTGGGTGGTGATGGGTGAACCCGGAGACCCGAGTTCGCTTTCCGCTCACGGCCACCAACACCAGTGACAATTATCTGAACCGGCCCTGGGACCTCGCTTAGGTCAGCTCAGCATCAAATGAGTACCGGGTGCTGTGTGTAAATATCGCCACTGGGGAGACAAAGGCGGTCGCGCGTGGTTCTGCCGGCCTTCACATGTGTTGTTCGCTAACGGCATTTGCCCCAAAAGTCTGTGAAAGCTATACGGGGGATCTTTGTCTTGATGAGAGTGGGGGCGGGAGTGCCACCGTCCCTTCTGCTCCCTCCCCTGCACCCACCACTGGGCGAGCCTCGATATGTACCCTGCACGTACACCGATACACGCACGGTGGGGCGGAAGGGGTGGGGAGTGGCACAGCCCCGAAAGGCCACGTGGGATCACTTTTCATTGAGTCCCCTTTGGAAGACGCAGCTCCTTGCGCGCGGATAAACAATTAGAGGCGTCACTAACTCCTGTCCATCACCTGGTTTCCGGAGCCTCGTGTTCGTCTGTCACCGGGGGTGGGGGGGGGGAGGGCCCGCACGGCTCGCGGCGATATTGAGAGCATCTGCAGCTGCTGCTGTGTGTGGCGCAACGGTGACAACTGCTGGCAGGTCCACGTTCTCAACCCGGGGGAAGAGATGCGCGCAGAAATGAATTTGGTGATGGGTGCTGCTGCTGCGTTGGCAGTGGTGCAGAAGTACAAAGTACCGCCCCCCCCCCCGCCCCCCCCCCCCCCCGCGTAGCCGAAAGCAGATTGTTAGGGCAAGTGCCGATATCGTTTGGAGGCTTTCATCCGGCAGATGATAGAACATGGGTGGACGTCTCACGACAGTGATGATGCTTATACTGGTAGGAACCTCCTGGTTACACCAGCCCACGGGGAATTATTGTGGCCGTCTGTCCGTCGTACATCCAAAAATGGGAGGGGTGGGGCTGGGTGGAGAGGGGAGGGTGGGGAGGGGCTGGGTGGGGAGGGAGGGGCTGGGTGGGTAGGGGAGGGGCTGGGTGGGGAGGGGAGGGTGGGGAGGGGAGGTTGGGGAGGGGCTGGGTGGGGAGTGTGGGGAGGGGCTGGGTGGGGAGGGGCTGGTCACCCCGTGGTGCCCTTATAAAACTCAACGTTTAACCTACTCACGCCGGCTTGTGCCCGCTCTCACAGTCGGGCATATTTGCGGAATACACCACGTGGTGCCGCCATTGACCCTGACCATTGACCGAGCGACCCAACGTTCCTACCAGCTCCCTCCGCAGGAGAATGTGTTCGTGCGCTCAACGTGCCCAAGGCAACGGAGGGTGAGCACCTCCTAGCGACCAGATGCCCTTTCGGGTTTTCAC